AGCTCAGAGCCGTAGGAAATCCGGTGCAGATAACAAGCAGGTAACGTAACGCATCGATTGCCTCGACAAACACACCGGGAGGGACACACATAAGTCCATTTTCAGTACCGAGCACGCGTGGCGCAAAGCAGCTTTCACCGTCAACTCCATTGGTGTCCTCTAAACAACGCGAATTGCCGGCAAAAAGTATAAAGCCAAAACTCGCTAGACAAAACCACGCTGCATTAACTCTCGTGTGCACCAATGTTCCCGAATCCAAATGTCACAGTAAAAGGCAAGTTGCAAGGCGATCGCAAACAGTGGAGTTCCATCTGCAAGGCAATTAACATTCGGGTTGAGCCTGCAATGCTGCAACGCGTAGCGCGTCACCCGACCTCAGTGCACTCTGGTGAACCTCGAATTCTTCGAGTAACACTAAACTCAGCAGATGAGACAGAGGCTGTCCTGCTCTCAGCAGTTCGTCTTCGCAACTCACCGAGCGGAGTACGCATATTGCCTGATCTACCTTGGAAAGATCGCCCAAAGAAGCAGTTGACCAACGCGGCATTGCTAATAGAGATAGCAAGAAAACAATATTTGTTCATGGTGTTCCTGAGCTTCTGCATTCTTCTGATCACGATGCACAAACTCATGACCGAGAGCAGTGGTGCTACATCCGCGAAGCACTCTCTGTAGACAATGTTATTGCCAAATCCCTGACAAGAGTTCCGTCATCACCTAACTACAAGGGCTGCGGTCCAAGGCTAATGAAAGTAGTACTACACTCCGAGGGAATGACGCAAGTTCTGTTGGATAGCTGGTTAAAGTTTCGAGCTAGGCTGCCAACAGAGATCCGGCTGAAAGCAGCAGGCGAACGACCAAAAGTCGGAAGCAATTCAACGGAACTTGCAAACGCAGCAAATTCCTTATCTGCACAGTCCTGCGGAGAGACCGACACAACAGCGCCCACGGCACACAGGAGGACCGAGCACAGCACCAGTGAAACTTCTGTTCAGGAACGCTTAATAATGCCATGCAACACGACTGAAATACATAAACCAAAAAACGATTAATTGCCGGCCACCTAACGGCCGGCTTAAAAGCGAACACAAACTTGACATCTATCAATGAACTCCTAACAACAAAAGCCCTATCTTGCATGTATACAAACGCCCAAGGCCTTCTAAGCAAGTTGGCAGAACTTAGAGAACTCCATGCCTCACAACCGCGGGACCTCGTCATGATTACAGAGACATGGTTAAACCCTGAGATAACCGATTCTGAGATCAATTTACCCGGTATGTCACTGCTTCGGACCGATAGAACCGGAAGGGGTGGCGGTGTGATTCTTTACTATAATACAAACCTCCGATGTGAAGTTATCGACCACCCGGAAATCCGAGCTCCCGATTCGCTTTGGTGCCGCCTATGGTTGCGAAACAAGGACACATGCCTACTAGCCGTGATTTATCGCCCACCAAACTCAACTTCGGAAATGGACTCCAAACTGAACCACGTTTTCCAGTTTGCTTTGAACAAGTCCTACACCCACATTCTTATCGCGGGAGACTTTAACGTGCATGACATAGAAACGCCGGCAACCGACGGTACGCAGTTTAAAGCCTGTTGCAAGAGCTTATTGCTAGCCACCCTCTTTACAACCACGTAACCTCTCCCACCAGATTTCGAACTGCTAACAAGCCGTCGATACTGGATCTTGTGCTCACTAACGAAGAACTCATGGTTAGCGGGATAGTTACAAGCACACCACTGGGTCGTAGTGATCATGTTACTCTACTCTTTGACTATATTTGCTATGCGGAGTACCCTGAAAAGGAGGAGGATAAAGTGCATACTGTCACACACTACAATGTGTTGTCTAAGCTTGTTAAGGATACATCTTGGACTTTCTTAACCGAATGCCCCCCAGATGTTGCCTGGGAAACATTTACAAGGACGTTTAGTACACTGGTAGCGCACGCATCAGAGCAGAAGTCCTTCCAACCTAAAAACAAGCGTAATTCATTTCTGAGGAGCAGGACACGTAAATGTATGTCCCGGAGGGATTTGGCATGGCGAGATCACCAGGACTGCTCGAATGCCGAAACCTGGACTGCATACGTGACCCATCGTAACTTCTGTGTGAAACTGATCCGCGAAGACAAGGTCACTCATCAGCAGAAGTTAATGAAGCGATTCTGCACGAATCGCAAACTCCTGTACAGGCACGTTAACGGCCTTCGAAAGGTAAAACGAGGGGTTCCAGCACTAGTCACGGCTGATGGGTGCACGCGATCAGCAATGGAAGCAGCTGATCTCCTACGGCTTCATTACTCCCGAACTTTCCAGGAGGTAACGAGCACAAACATTCTCCTCATTTCTACTACTCCACCATCTGGTTTAGAAAACATCACCTTCACTGCGGAAGCTGTGTTGAAGAAGTTGTTATGCTTGCGTATCCACAGTTCTCCCGGAGCTGACAACATCCGACCAAAGGCTCTACAGGCGGTAGCTAGTGATCTAGCAGAACCACTGGCTATTTTCTATCAACGATGTCTAGAGGAGAACCGTATTCCACCAGTATGGAAGCGAGGGGTCATCACTCCTATTCATAAAGGAGGTAGCCGCACTGATCCTGCCAACTACCGTCCAATAACACTACTTCCAGTACTATCCAAAGTGATGGAATCAATCATCGCAGATGCGCTGATGGAATACCTGGAAAGCCACAATTTAATAGCCCCAGAGCAACATGGCTTTCGTCAAAAGCATTCGTGTAATACTAACCTATTAATTGCACGTAATAGCTGGACTGAAGCTGTTGATGATGGAGTAGGGGTCGATGTCATCTACCTGGACTTTTCAAAAGCATTTGATCGCTTAAACCATCGCATTCTCCTTCAGAAGCTTCGGAATTACGGCATTGGCGACCCAATCCTGAGTTGGATTGACAATTTTCTACAAGAACGACGGCTAGTGGTGAGAGTCCGAGAATCATTGTCTGATGCAATCGATGTGGCGTGCGGAGTACCACAAGGCTCGGTTCTTGGACCTCGTCTATTCTTGGTGTTCATTAACGATTTGGCGAGATCAATTACTTCCGATTTCCTATTTTTCGCTGATGATATCAAGATATGGCGAAGGATCAGAGGACCGGATGACCATGAACGGCTCCAGTGCGATCTTAACACAGTGTCGAACTGGTCACTTCAAAACGCCCTACCGTTCAATGTAGACAAATGTCGCGTCGTACAATTACGCCATAGTCATAACTACACCTATTCACTTGGGACCAACGGACTGCAGAATAGCTCCCAGGAACGTGACCTGGGTGTGATCGCACAGAGCGACCTCAACTGTTCAAAACAAGCTGAGGTAGCTGCGAAAAGAGGCAACCAGCATGTCGGCATGCTGCGAAGAGCATTCGGGAGATTTGACCCATCAATCTTCCCAATGATGCACAATTCCTACGTGCGCCCGCATGTTGAATACGCTATCCAAGCTTGGCAACCTTGGTTGAAGCGTGACCTAGAAGCGATAGAGACACCACAACGGAGAGCAACAAAGAATGTGCAGGGTCTGCGCTATCACTCTTACCACCGAAAGCTGACGTTGCTGGGAATTTTCAGCGGGCGCTATCGAAGACTGCGCGGTGATCTCATATTAGCGTATCAAATATTGCGTGACCCCAACCACGTATGCCGCCATTTGCTGAAACTTAGCCACAACACGCAGCTCAGGGGTAACTGCTTAAAGTTGAAGGAACAATACAGCCGTCTAGAGTGTCGACGGAATTACTTTTCCCTTCGGGTTTGCAAACCTTGGAACGCACTCCCAGACTCAGTTGTATCCTCCTCTACCTTGGACGTTATCAAAAAACGATTAGATGTTGCTCTTAGCTCCCAACATTTTGTTACCTAAACTCCTCTATTGTGGATTACACCAAGGATGCATTTCAACAGGATTTATGTATCAAATGGACCTAAGTGAGCGACCATATTTTACTTTTCTCACTCCTTACCTCAATGATCACTGCACCTCAGTGTCTTTCTGAACGTTTACGCTCGATAGTTTATTTTACTTTTACACTGATGTTACTTATCAAACTATTCATCTCGGCAGACGTTCGATAGATGACCCAGACATA